AACGCAGGATTTTTTGGACAATGTGCAGGCTGTATTCAGCCGCTATCAACTCTGAAACGCGATCTCACTCACGCTGTCTTTCGTCTCATCGCCAATCTGCAGGCTGTATTCAGCCGCCATCAACTCTGAAATGATCTCACTCACGCTGTCTTTCGTCTCATTGCTAATTTCAGGCTGTACTCAGCCGAATCATTCGCTTTCAAAACAACTTGCAGACTGTAAGTTCAGCATCCCAACGATTGAAGTCACCCCCGAGGAGGCATCCAAAGTCAAGCTCCAACACAGCGACAAGTGTGATATTTGGGCCGGTGAAGGTGGCCAATGGTTCTTCAAGCTCAAGAAGGGCGCATGCGTATTTGTTCCGAAAGCCTTTTCGTTCAGTTGCATAGTCGCACCGGATGGCACGTTGGCCTATGGTCTTCCTGACGATATCATTGCTTGAACCGACCCAGTTTTGCTTTACAGTCTAGTTGCGACCGCGGAGGCTCAGCGTGTCGGGCATCACCGATCCATACGAGTTGTATTAGTACATCTATCTATCCGAAGTCGGGTTGTCACTGGGTTGTGGTATGGGCGGTCAGGCTAGTCTTGGGAAGACGTTCCACGATTGTTGCGCCGAGAAAGAGGTGCAGAACGATATCTGCAAGAAACGTAAGTTCTCATTCTTCCTCTTTAACTTGTATTAACTTGGGATATTCAGTTTCCATCATCACTACTGCTGGATGGATCAATCTTTTGCTTTTGTCGTTCAGTGAATTTGCGAAGATCCCCGTCGGAGCCCAACATCATACTTGCACAGTTGAGTGCTCAATTTGCAGGCTGTACTCAGCCGCGTCATTGAACCTTTTTTACTCAATCTCGCAGTTGGCTGGCTGTAATTCAGCCTGTCTTTCCGGTGTTCGACGCGATATGCAGGCTGTATTCAGCTGTTATAAACCACCTTTTTACATCCCGCTTTGCATTTGGCTGGGAAGCGTCTTTTGCGGTTGCGCTGGCTAAGCGACTTTGAATTCACGCCGTCTTCTTAGCTTAAAAACGAAGGCAATATATCTCCTTTGGAACTCTGCTCCAAAATCATACGCGATTCTTAAACTTTTCGAGCTTCTTACGGGGTTGAACCATCGCAACCGTGCTATACTCAGCGTGCCGGAAGTTATTCAGCCTCTACTGGAGCATCTTCCCAAGGTGCAGGAGAAGAAGGAAAAAACCGTGGTGCTAAAACTGGCTCGAAAGCTACTAGACATGGGCGCTTCACCTTCTGTCGCTCGAGGCATGTTTCAACGGTCTATCAAAGACGACGGCACGCTTGATATGGACCTGTTGGAGTTGATTAGAGCTGGAATGAAGTCAAGGTGGCTGGAACACTTTTCTTTCCGCTCTTCGGCGGGGCTATTTCTCACACAAGAGGGCGTAAAATCGCTGCCAGTCACTGGATTTACATTCATGGTACGTGTATGATGTTTTGAACCTTTGTCAAATCGCTTTTTAAACTCGTTCTAGATATGGCTATGGATCGACAAACTACCTCAAATGGGCACATCTCAAATGCTCTTCTCCACGCGCATGTCGGGAATGTCTGAAGATTTGTTATCGCTGCGGTTGCAGCACGATGGAAAACTGGAGTTCTCCTCCGCTAGCAATAAACAGTCTGTTGAATTCACCCAAGCGCGTATTTTAAGAGCCAAGTGGACGCATATTACACTGGTACACTACCCTGGAAGAGATCGGTTCTCGAATCCGAGTATTCGTACGTGTTGATCGCGATAATTAACATTGTCCTAATGCCATGTCTATAGGTCTGTTCATTGACGGTGTACTTACAGACACCTTGAACTGGTTCTATCCAAAGCCAAGCATATCATCAGCGCAACCCGCGATCGAGTATATCATCGGTGATAACTCGAAAGATGTGACTATGAGCTGGTGCTTTGCTTCCTGCTATATGATTGCTCTACCACTCGGTGAGTCGTTCTCTTTCCTAGATCGAAGCATTGCTAACACTCCTCCAGGGGACGACATCCCTCGGTTCATCCATCACCTGGGCCCTCGTTATTTCGGAAGTTTCCAAGACCCCGCTTTAGCAAAGTTCTTGACCTATGAAGCTTCGACTTCACTCAACATGTTTCTTTCCAATATCCAACTTGCCGCCTCTCAACGTCCTCCCCCTGCTACACCACTTTCACCGAACGCTAATGGAGCTTCGGCGATAATGATGACCCAAGTCTCCTCCTCCATCGTTAAAGCTGTAAAAGACGGCATTGGCTTACCAGAATCCGCAATCATCTTTGCACTCAGTCCATTAAACTGCGTTGCTTCTGGGTTTAGTCGTAGTATTCCTGCTTTGGGTGGAAGTGGTCTTGGGAATGGCTCTGGTGGAAAGGCTGATCAGGCGTCTTCGAGGAGGGAGTTTGTTGTAAAGGGTGATGTGTTTGTGATGAAGGCTAAATGTTTGGATAATGCGCTTTGGAGAGTCGGCGGGGCAGCTGTTGCGCTGAGGTTGGTTCAGGTTGCACAGGTGCGTTTTCTCCGTCAATTGTGTTCATAATTCTGATGTTCTTTCTAGACTCAGCACGAGCTCTCTCGCGCTCTTGGTGTTTTGACCGATGTCATGAAAAACAGTTGGCAGAATTCAGAGGATATCGAGCGGTTACGTCCGTTCGCATAATGCATATTGTAAATGAGTGTACTGACACTCTTTTAGACGGCTACAATATCGGACGCGAGTTTCGTCAAAGATGTCTTCACCGGAGGGGTCTCGGCCGAGACCGCGTAGAGCTGCGATTAGCTCTCCGCTGTCGTCGACATTATCATACTTCTCTTCCTCCTCATCGGATTCAAACTCTCTCCATCCAGCCCGATACATCCTCTTGCCTTTTTTTACGTGTCCGCCACAGTTACTACAGATAGCCTGCTTCTAGTAGACCATCGAGGTCATCCCCGCCGCCACCGGACCCGACAAACAGATTCTTTTGCCCCGGTATTTTGGGCCAATTGCAGCTGCTCCCTGTGAGCATGATGACCTCTGCCTGCAATGCATGCAACTGAGCAGCGGGATCAAGTCATGTTTCCGCCGAGGAGGGTAGGATCAGAGTCGTTGGCGTTTTTCTCTAGTTCGAGATCATCCTCGGTGATCATATCCAGGTCAAAGTCGCCAGCTGTCCACATGGATGGAACTGAGGATGACCGAGTGGGAGAGTGGGAGCAGCATGCTCGGGACGGGGAAATATAAAAGGACACGCAGTGCAAGAGGTTGAGAGAGGTTTCCTAAGACGTCGAATGTGGATTTGAGGTATTTTTGGAGGAGTTGGAGGGATGTGTCGCCTGGATGGGAGGCGTCGAGGATGATTTGGATTAGACGGCCTCGTGCCTCGCGAGCCATTCGTTTGACGACTTTGCGGACGCGGGTTTCGTCAAAGATGTATTTACCGGAGGGGTCGCGGCCGAGACCGCGTAGAGCTGCGACTAGCTCTCCACCTCCGCCGTCATTATCATAATCCTCTTCCTCCTCATCGGATTCAAACCCTCTCCATCCAGCCCAGTACTTCCTCTTGCCTTTTCCTCCGCGTCCGCCACAGTTGCTACAGAGATATCCAGCCTCAAGTAGACCATCGAGGTCATCCTCGCCGCCTCCAGACCCAATCAAGCAGATTCCTTTTCCCTCCGCCATTCTGGGCTAACTGCAATTGCTCCCTGAAGCATGATGACCTCTGCCTGCAACGCATGCAGCTGAGCAGCACTACTATGCTGCGCGCGCTCCAAAAGTCGTTTATAAGAGGTGATTTTGCGCATGTGGAGAGTGTTGACTTGGTTCAAGAGTGGGATCAAGTCAGAGTTTCCGCCGAGGAGGGTAGGATCAAAGTTGTTGGCGTTTTCCTCTAGTTCGAGGTCGTCCTCGGTGATCATATCTAAGTCAAAGGAAGATGATTCGTCGCCGGCTGTCCACATGGATGGAACTGAGGATGATGGTCCGAGTGGGAGAGCGGGAGCAGGATGTTCGGAGAGCAAATACGTCTGCGTTGGTCGGCGGGAGTGGAAATTTGACTTTGGCTACCGAGCGACTCGGATTGGGATCTCGCTGGAGATTTCCTCGGGGTTGAAGAAGGCAATCGAGGCCCGCCGCTCACTGAGCGCTGTGGCGTGGTCCGTGAAGGACGCGATGGAGTAGGCATCGGTGAAGGTGACGTTAGACTGATTCCAGGAGACGTCGCACTAGCCGTCGTTGCTGCTGCTGGGGTCGAAAGAACACGTGTACGTGCAGGTGAGCCGAAATTTGAGTTGGAAGTCGAAGTGACGCGTGGCCGGGGTCTTGTGGGCGTCGTAACAGTCGATGTAGATGTTTCATTCGATGCGACTGCGACTGGTACTGCGACTGGAACCGTAGCAGTAGATCGTCGACTAGAAACAATCGATGGTGTAGCTCGTGGCCTTGGTAAAGAATTATTACTAGCGCTACTAGTACTAGTGCTGAGACTGCTGAGATTTTTCGCAGTCAATCTATTATTCGGCGTCGATGTCGATGTAGGATTGGAATTGGAATTATCCACTGAAATTCGTCGACCAGATGTACTTTTGGCCAAAGCTGAGTTAGCTGAAGTTGAATTTGGCATTGGGATGGATGAAATTGACCGTCGATTCGTGCTGCGGTTGTTGCCTATGGTCGACATGTTGCCGACTAGTACTGTCACTTGTTAGTAATTCCAATCAAAGCAAAGATACTATAATCACCAGCACTGTACACGCGTAAAGAAACGCGTCGACGAGTTGATAGCGGAAGTAAACAACGACTGGCGTGACTATAGCGGGCGCTAGTTCAAATTACAATATCCCACGTTGTAGCTTTGACGCCTGTTATTATTAACCAGTACCAGACCGAGTAGACTACAAGACTAGGTATACATAAAGCAATAAAGACTATATCAGATATACAATATATATATGTAGACAAGCAATTCCAGAAGTTCAGAAGAAACAAATCAAGCACTACGATTCCGAACGTTGCTCGACGCCAGCAGAACTTGAACCTGCGCCCTCAAAGAGGAACAGATCACCGTTCCACGGGACAATTCTAATCTGTCGCCGTAACCACTTGGCTATAGCGTCTCGAGACTCTTCCCTTCTTCCCTCTAAACTCGATGAAAATTCGGGTACCTGTGTTTAACTTATGAGGTTTTGTTCTTCTTCGTCGGAATTGAAGCCTTCGCATGGATGAAATTTGATCGATTCATTTAAAGAACCTCATATTATTTAATTCAGAGATGTCATGGTCAATCCCGAGCTCAAGGACCTATTTGAACGGTCATGATGGTATTTGGGTTTTCTCCATCTGGCACCGAGCAGGTTCAGCGCTTTCTTTTAAGGCTTGTTATGAGAACCGTTCAATGCTGTATAGTCGATCTACAGTTGATCTAAGTATCACTAACAGCATCTCGTTTGTCCGATCATTGTCCCCAGCCTCTGTGTGATGTACTGTGCAACCTGCCAGAAATCAATGCTGTATTTTGCTTGGGCTGTGTGTCGAATCCACAGCATGCAAACAGCATGCCTTTGCAACATTCATTCCACAGCATGCAAACAGCGTGCCTTTGCAACATATATTCCACAGCATGCAACAGCATGCTTTCGCAACGTGTTCATGCTATATATCTCTGACTGCATTACTGTACTGCAATCCTTTCGATTCTTCCTCCCCATGGCTTCACCAAGTATCCCTCCAGCGCATACACCGTCTCAACCTCTTGGAATCATGTTCCCGGGGGCACATCATTTCCAGATATCCGGAGGCACATTCCAGGTAAACAACAACAATACACGTGTGTACTATGCTTGGTGCTATCATTGTTCGCCAGCTGACCGCCTGCGGCTTTTTCAAACTCTCCTTATGTTTGAGCAGCGGTAGGGTCTTCAAACTTATGAGTATATGAGTTCACTGAACAGTAAAATCTGCAGCTTGTTTTCTATGTTAAAAGGCAGTTGTTGTCAGCTCCAGGCTCCGATTATTACATTATTGGTTGCATGATGCTAGGAGCTCCCGGGGAGACTTCTTATATCGTGAGGAGGTTTAAGAGGGAGGAGGAACGAGATCGCTTTGAATCATTCCTTCAAAAATTTGGGTGAATTGCATAACTGTTTTATTGATTGAAAGAAATTGTTCATGAATCTTTCATCCTTTTCAGATGGGCTGCTTTTACAATGAAAGCGCTAGGAAAACTGACTGTGAATGGAGACCCATGTTTAATTGTAACTTCTGCAGGTAATATTGCTTTTATCTTTTCATTCTGGAATCTAAATTTGAGAAGCTGTCTACACATGGAGGGACATGATGGGGGCTGAATGGACTACATGGGAATATAGGTTCCAGCTGGTGGGTTTCAATGTAATATTGTAGCTTTGTGTTTACTCACATTGCAATGAAGTTCCTCAAGATTGTGGTATGGCTAATGGTTTACAGGAACTAGTGGCTGGACTTATGATACTCTAGGCATTTTTTATGGACAATCCAGATGTTTACCCAGGGAAATGGAACTGGGGGCAGCTTTGGAATGATTATGGTCCCTATAAGAATTTAAACTTATTTGATGGCAATGGGATGCTCACCATGGATTTGGAAATGCTGGAATCCTATGGTTTGGTTTATTTGGAGCACTCACATTTTCAGGTGGGAGTATTGTCTCACTCATAAGTACAAATTATTAAACAGCTGCTAGATACATGGAGATCCAAAATTATATTCAGTGGGAGGAAAGTGGAGGGATAAAGCAGCAGATAAGATAGGTGAGTGTAGATCATATGGCCAAGTAATGCAGAGGATCCACATTCTATTTTAGGGAAGGGCAGGATTGACCAAGTAGTATATGGTCATATACTACAAAACTATGTAAGCAGAACAAAGGTGATGAATTATAAGACAAGCTGACTGTCATCCCTTTCCACTCTCCAGTCTGTGAGTCAACCCTCAATCCACCTCCAGTCTCTCACTTCCACTGACTGTCATCCTCTTCCTACCTCTCTAGCTTGTGAATCCACCCCCAATTCACCTCCAGTCTCTCACTTCCACTGACTGTCATCCTCTTCCCACCTCTCCAGAGAGTGAGTCCAGCCCTAATCCACCTCCAGTCTCTCACTTCCACTGACTGTCATCCTCTTCCCACCTCTCCAGAGAGTGAGTCCAGCCCTAATCCACCTCCAGTCTCTCACTTCCACTGACTGTCATCCTCTTCCCACCTCTCCAGGATGTGAGTCCACCCCCCAATCCACCTCCAGTCTCTCACTTCCACTGACTGTCATCCTCTTCCCACCTCTCCAGCTTGTGAGTCCACCCCCCAATCCACCTCCAGTCCCTCACTTCCACTGACTGTCATCCTCTTCCCACCTCTCCAGGCTGTGAGTCCACCCCCCAGTCCACCTCCAGTCCCTCACTTCCACTGACTGTCATCCTCTTCCCACCTCTCCAGGCTGTGAGTCCACCCCCCAATCCACCTCCAGTCTCTCACTTCCACTGACTGTCATCCTCTTCCCACCTCTCCAGCTTGTGAGTCCACCCCCAAATCCACCTCCAGTCTCTCACTTCCACTGACTGTCATCCTCTTCCCACCTCTCCAGGCTGTGAGTCCACCCCCCAATCCACCTCCAGTCCCTCACTTCCACTGACTGTCATCCTCTTCCCACTTCTCCAGTATGTGAGTCCACCCCCCAATCCACCTCCAGTCCCTCACTTCCACTGACTGTCATCCTCTTCCCACCTCTCCAGGATGTGAGTCCACCCCCCAATCCACCTCCAGTCTCTCACTTCCACTGACTGTCATCCTCTTCCCACCTCTCCAGCTTGTGAGTCCATCCCCCAATCCACCTCCAGTCTCTCACTTCCACTGACTGTCATCCTCTTCCCACCTCTCCAGGATGTGAGTCTACCCCCCAATCCACCTCCAGTCTCTCACTTCCACTGACTGTCATCCTCTTCCCACCTCTCCAGGATGTGAGTCTACCCCCCAATCCACCTCCAGTCTCTCACTTCCACTGACTGTCATCCTCTTCCCACCTCTCCAGGATGTGAGTCTACCCCCAATCCACCTCCAGTCCCTCACTTCACCTGACTGTCATCCTCTTCCACCTCTCCAGGATGTGAGTCTACCCCCCAATCCACCTCCAGTCTCTCACTTCCACTGACTGTCATCCTCTTCGACCTCTCCAGGATGTGAGTCTACCCCCAATCCACCTCCAGTCCCTCACTTCCACTGACTGTCATCCTCTTCCCACCTCCAGGTTGTGAGTCCACCCCCCAATCCACCTCCAGTCTCTCACTTCCACTGACTGTCATCCTCTTCCCCTCTCCAGGATGTGAGTCCACCCCCAATCCACCTCCAGTCTCTCACTTCCACTGACTGTCATCCTCTTCCCACCTCTCCAGGATGTGAGTCCACCCCCCAATCCACCTCCAGTCTCTCACTTCCACTGACTGTCATCCTCTTCCCACCTCTCCAGGAGAGTGAGTCCCCCCCCCAATCCACCTCCAGTCTCTCACTTCCACTGACTGTCATCCTCTTCCCACCTCTCCAGCTTGTGAGTCCACCCCCCAATCCACCTCCAGTCTCTCACTTCCACTGACTGTCATCCTCTTCCCACCTCTCCAGCTTGTGAGTCCACCCCCTAATCCACCTCCAGTTCTCACTTCCACTGACTGTCATCCTCTTCCCACCTCTCCAGCTTGTGAGTCCACCCCCTAATCCACCTCCAGTCTCTCACTTCCACTGACTGTCATCCTCTTCCCACTTCTCCAGGATGTGAGTCCACCCCCCAATCCACATCCAGTCTCTCACTTCCACTGACTGTCATCCTCTTCACACCTCTCCAGGATGTGAGTCCACCCCCCAATCCACCTCCAGTCTCTCACTTCCACTGACTGTCATCCTCTTCCCACCTCTCCAGAGAGTGAGTCCACCCCCCAATCCACCTCTAGTCTCTCACTTCCACTGACTGTCATCCTCTTCACACCTTTCCAGAGAGTGAGTCCACCCCCTAATCCACCTCCAGTCTCTCACTTCCACTGACTGTCATCCTCTTCCCACCTCTCCAGTTGTGAGTCCACCCCCCAATCCACCTCTAGTCTCTCACTTCCACTGACTGTCATCCTCTTCACACCTTTCCAGAGAGTGAGTCCACCCCTAATCCACCTCCAGTCTCTCACTTCCACTGACTGTCATCCTCTTCCCACCTCTCCAGAGAGTGAGTCCACCCCCCAATCCACCTCCTAGTCTCTCACTTCCACTGACTGTCATCCTCTTCACACCTTCTCCAGAGAGTGAGTCCACCCCTAATCCACCTCCAGTCTCTCACTTCCACTGACTGTCATCCTCTTCCCACCTCTCCAGGAAGTGAGTCCACCCCCCAATCCACCTCCAGTCTCACTTCCACTGACTGTCATCCTCTTCCCACCTCTCCAGAGAGTGAGTCCACCCCCCAATCCACCTCCAGTCTCTCACTTCCACTGACTGTCATCCTCTTCCCACCTCTCCAGCTTGTGAGTCCACCCCCCAATCCACCTCCAGTCTCTCACTTCCACTGACTGTCATCCTCTTCCCACCTCTCCAGCTTGTGAGTCCACCCCCCAATCCACCTCCAGTCTCTCACTTCCACTGACTGTCATCCTCTTCCCACCTCTCCAGCTTGTGAGTCCACCCCCCCAATCCACCTCCAGTCTCTCACTTCCACTGACTGTCATCCTCTTCCCACCTCTCCAGGTTGTGAGTCCACCCCCCAATCCACCTCCAGTCTCTCACTTCCACTGACTGTCATCCTCTTCCCACCTCTCCAGGATGTGAGTCCACCCCCCCAATCCACCTCCAGTCTCTCACTTCCACTGACTGTCATCCTCTTCCCACCTCTCCAGTTTGTGAGTCCACCCCCAATCCACCTCCAGTCTCTCACTTCACTGACTGTCATCCTCTTCCCACCTCTCCAGAGAGTGAGTCCAACCCCCAATCCACCTCTAGTCTCTCACTTCCACTGACTGTCATCCTCTTCACACCTTTCCAGAGAGTGAGTCCACCCCTAATCCACCTCCAGTCTCTCACTTCCACTGACTGTCATCCTCTTCCCACCTCTCC